AGTACGTCAGGTGAGATAGTCCTCGACTGCCTTCAATTTGATGGTGACAATTTGAGAGACAGTAGTGATATGTGAAACGGACTGAGCAAGAGCGGACATCGGGGACCCAAACCTCGGTTGATCAACTGGCCGAATTACACCTGGAGAGCCAGAAAAGGTTGACTCGGAAAAGGAAGGGTCTGCTTGCTGGACCGATCCGGTGAGAGGGATGTGAGGTGGAACCGGCGGTGGATTAAAGAGGCTCGCCTGCGGCTGGATTGAAGGTTGCAGCCTCGGGAAGCTCTGTGGCATAGACTGAAACAGAGGAGTGTGATCAGTCACAAAAAATGTTGGTGGTGGGGGAAATTAGTGAATAACGCCAATGATGTTGGCATCATTCCCTGCGAGCCAACGACTCTAGAGATTGCAGCGGCAGAGCGTGGTGTAGAGAACTCTAGCTGATCGGTCATCCGGGTAGGAATTGATGAGGTTGCTGGCACCATGGAGGAAGAGACTGCAGCGGCAGCCGAGCTCATGGCTGAGGAAGCCATGGCTGCGGCACTTGAGTCGACCGAAGACGAGGAAGAGCTCATAACGGCGGAAACGTGAATTGAGAGAAGAGAGAAAAAAATTTAGGCCTGGGCTCTTGATACCATGTGAAAATAATGGGAAAGGTACTCCAATAGGAGTCCTGACAGGTATATTTATATTAAATAAGAGTTACCAAAAAACACAAGGATTCCTAATTTATATTAACTATTAGCAATTCTTTGGAGACATCAAGCTCAATACAGATTCTCGCTGTACTGGGTCTAGAGAAGTTAGCAGTAGGAGGGTCAACCTGAAGAGGTCTGCCCAAAAGGCCAACAATGGAGTACAATGCCCTAACATCGTGGAAGTGGATCGGTAGCCCATCAAGGGATACCCAAACTGGAGTCAGGGGGCATTCACGGTCAAGCGAAATAGCCGATGTCCATCCGGTAACATTCATCGGGTAACCAAAGAAATCCCAATTTCTTTTTAACAAAAATCTTTGAAAATCGGAATCAGAGTGGATGTTGATTAGAATCTTGTTCGATTGAATTAATCCGACAGAATAGGGGTGAGAGAACCCTACTACCTCCGGGGCTTTTCGAATCGCAGATATGGATGGCCGATCTTTTGGGAAGGTTCCATCAAGAGCAAATCAGAAGTGTTTGGACAGTACTTGGACTTCATCATAAAAAAAGGAGACCGCCAGTACTCCTTTGAATATACCCGGCGGCTTGGCTGGGAGATCTTGGAAATTGACATCGGTGAATAAGCAGGTTTGAACGAGGAGGCGTCGGCTGGGGAGAGCTTCCCTTACCGCCCCCCGCGTAAGAAATTCGTGTTTGAGCCGTCTCCGGTACAAGCCCCTCCGCCGGCGGCATTAGATTGCCGCACAGGCGTCAGGCGTATGAACGAAGCTTCACGGGTGTGATTGTTCCTCTTTCGGATGCAATCACCTAATTGTTATACATTCATTTGAATTTTGTGCTTTCTCTCTCCATCATTTTTATCTTAAAGTGCCATAAATTATATGAAATTGCCATCTTTTTATTTAAAAATGTCATATCTTTGTATATGTAAATGTCATGTTTTGAGATCTATGTTTTGAGATTTGTATATGCCATGCTTTGAGATTTGTATATGCCATGTTTTCTTATATCCAAATGCCATTATTATTATGCCAAATAAAGATGCCATTATTATTATTATGCCAAATGAAGATTTGTAAATCTTGGCAGACGGATGATGGTGGTGGGTTTCTGGGGGGTGGCGGCCGCCTCGAGGTGATGCACCGGCTCCTCAGACGTGGCGGAGGTTACATGGACGCGGTGGCGGCTCCCTGGAGTCTGTGACATCGGTTCTTCCGAGCAGCGGCGGCGGCGGCTCCCCGGAGCCTGTGACATTGGTCCTTCCGTGCAGCGGTGGCAGTGGGCTCGCCAGACGCGGCAAACTCACCAGACGACGGGGAACTCACCTGACAACCACAGCGGACTCACCAGCGAACTCATCGTACTTGCCAGACAGCGGCAACGAACTCGCCGGAGTCGCCAGACGGCGGCTGCAGAGTGCCATGCGGAGGCGGGCCGCAAAGCTTGACCATTGCTGAACTATTGGGGGGGGGGGGGGGGGGCTGGGTGATGCTAGAGTTTTGTTTATTTTGTACTACATACTTTTTTTTTTTTCTATTTTGCAATTGTAAATAAGACTGGAATTGCATTAAGGGTATTTTAGTCCTATTAAACATTCAACTCCTATTGTAGTCCGATTAAACATTGAACTCCTATTTTTGCTCATGTTCAATGTTTTACTCCTATTAGAGTAATTACCCCTTTAATTTATTTTGAATAGTTTCTTTATATTGTTGATTTGTACAGAAAAAAGAATTAGCACTACCCTAAGTTTGAAACTTTGAGTTGATTTGGTAGCACTAAATTGCAGAATCAGTTAAATGTGCTGAAATTAGTGAAATTCTTATTGAATTGGATAAACTATTAAATATGTATATGTTTAAATACATTTTATTAATAAAGTAAAGAGAAATATATGAATAATAGTTGAAAGTTTTTATTTAATAATTTTAAATTCAATTAGAAAAATTATATATACTTAGACTTCACTTATTTTAATTATTACGTAACAACACCATAAAATTCGTGTAGTATTTATTATAATAAGTTTTAGGCTATATAAAGAATTGACGCTTCTTTGTGCGGAGCGACTCCTTCCGATCTCCCTAGCGGCTCTGCTGCGTAGGGTTTTTCCCTCCCTAGCGGCTATGCCGCGTAGGGTTTATCCTCCCTAGCGACTCTGCCGTCGCATAGAGTTTTTATTCCACCAATTGTTTGAGCGGTTCTTCTTCTCTAGGCTTCTAGAGTGTTTCTTGAATTTAGATTATTATTTCTGGCTTTGGATTTAGGAGGAGTGAGTGCAGCAACAGTTTTTGGAAACGAATCCAAGGTTCAACAAAGGATAATTATGGCTCCTATGGATGATTTAGAGCAGCGTTGACTCAGTCCTTCAATTGAGGAAAAACTTGGAGAGTTAGGGCCTGTTTACTAACAGAAATATTTTCCAGTTTTCCAGAAAACTGGAAAACTGGAAAACAGAAAACAAGAAACGTGTTTACCAAAGAAATTCCTGGAAAACTGGAGAAAGGAAAAAAGAAAAACGCGTTTACCAAATCGTTTTCCAAAACGGAAAAAATTAAACATGTCTCTCTTTTCCTTAATGATTTGGAGAAGTGACTTTTACTAGTTTTCCAAATTTGGAAAACGCAGATGCTACAGTGTCTTTGCAATGAATTTGCATACTTACACCTAGTGGTGGGTCCGGACCCGCTCCGATGTCGATTCTATTCCAGTACCTCCATCCTCGTACCTTACCCCTTACCCCTACCCTACCCTACCCACCAAACCCCCACCCCGCATACCCATTTTTTCCCTATAATGACCTTACCCCACCCCCCACCACATGCCCCGACCTCGGTCCCACACCGATCCACCCTACCCTACTGCCATCCCCTACCACCTCGACCCCACCTCGATCCACCCTACCCTACCGCCACCCCCTACCACCTCGACCCCACCCCGACCCACCCCACCCCTCGTATATTACCACTTACCCCTACCTTACCCCTTACCACATGCCTCCTACCTCGGCCCCACCCCCGCTGCCATCCTACCCCCCGCCCTCGTATCGCCATCCTACCCCCACCCCCCACCCGGATCCCGGGCCCACCCTACCACCATCCTATCCCAACTCCCTACCCTACCCCTACCTTACCCCAAACCCTACCCACTACCCCCACCCTACCCCTTCTTTACCCCGGCCCCACCTCTGGTCCCGACCCCACCCTACCGCAAACCTATCCCAACTCCCTACCCTACCCCTACCTTACCCCAACCCCAAACCCTACCCCTACCCTTACCGCCATCCTACCCCCCACCCTACCCCTTCCCTACCCCGGCCCCACCCTGGTCCCGACCCCACCCTACCGCCATCCTATCCCAACTCCCTACCCTACCCCTACCTTACCCCAACCCTACCCACTACCCCACCCTTAACCCTAACCACGACCCTAACCCACCCACTACCCCCCACCCAACCCCCTACCCCTACACCTTACCACCCCATCCCGACCATACCCCTTACCCCACCCCACCCATAACTTCCCTACCCCGACTCCTACGAGTAGGTATGAGTGGGTATGAAGGGTTGTGGTGGAGTATGGGAAGAGTGTAAGATGGTGGTAAGGGTAGAGGTAGGGGTCAAGGGTGTGGAATTGGAGAACTGTGTGAAAAAATTGATGAACACATTTTCAAATTTGAAAATGGAAAACTAAAAAATAGAAACAGAAAATTGGAGATAGAAAAACTGAAAAATAAAAATAGAAAATTGGAGAACAAAAAACAGAAGTAGAAAACAGGAAAATATCTCTGTTAGTAAACAGGCCCTTAGTTTTTGGCAAATCAGCATGGATAGAAGGCGGTGTTGGTAGTGGAGGCGGCACGGGCGACGAGAAGATGAGGAGAGGTGAAGGGCTGAGCAAGGGAGAAGACATATCGACGGTCCGCCCCCCTCCTGAACCGCCGCCTTGGAGCGTTCGAGTTGCTAAGATTTGGAAGTTTTGTCAGTTATTTAATATTTCATGGTTTTATTTTTGCGTATGTTTTACGTTGCTATATTTTTTGTTGATGTCTTTAGTTTTAGGTCTACAATAATGATTGACAATTCTGCTAGATATTATGTCGATGGAAGGATCTTTATGGTCAGTAATTGGTGTCCCGTTTGGTGGTTAGCGATTCGTATTGTTTTTCTCGGGATGATCGTCTCTGATTCTAGTCGTAGGGTTGAATGGTGGATAGTGCTAGTTGATTAAGTATAATTGTTGTCGGTGTTAGTCTGGTTGAATTTGTTGTAACGATCCAATTCCTTACAAAATTAATACGCAGTATAAAACGGTTTGTTTTGATGATCACAAAAAAGTTTTAGGCTCTATTTTTACTTTCAATTTCAATTTCATTCCAAACGGGAAATAAGGTAGGAAAGTTCTCTTTGTTCTTCTGCCAGCGAAGAGGTTCCAACGCACCGCCCCGGACTCCGAAAGAGCTTCCAAGAATTGGGGCACAAGAATCTTCCGGAAGCCAAGTCAATCAAAACATACCCACTCAATTAACCTTTTGGTCTAGAAGATTCTTGTGCCGTGTTTATCTATCTCAATTCGATCGGGAATGTTGAATTGACTATTTATTCGTTACACTCGATTTTATAGCGTCCTTTCCAATTTCGCTTTCACGAGGGATCTTGGAAGGAAGTCTCCTTCCAGATAAGGATCTTGGAGATTTCTTTAATTTGAGGTGCTCTTGGAGCTGTTGTTATGGATGCCTGTGAGATTGTTCGTTGCATTAATTGGCGGGGAGATTAGGGTTTTGAGAGCTTCATAAAAAGTCCTTGCATCTGTTTGATGTATCTGGTTATAATCAAAGAGGGTGATAGGTTTGTGAACCAACGGTCATTGATTTCGCCGGGTGTTCTCAGGCCATTGGATTTGAAGTTGGAGCAGAAAGTGTTTCGGGGTTGGATCTCAATACACAAGTGGAACAAGGAGTTCTATATACTGCCCGGAGGATAATTGGGTCAACCCAGACCTGTTGGGTTTGCATAATACTCCGTAATAATTTTACCTGAAGATGGAGTCAACCCAAGATTCAACTTTGTCAACTAATGTAGCGGGTTTGGTAGAAGGGACTTCTTCTAGTGGAAGAGTGGTTTATTATATTGATTCTCTACCCATATATGCTAAGGAGTTAATTGCCGGAGGTGCTGCTGGTGCGTTCGCTAAAACTTCTGTTGCGCCCTTGGAACGTGTTAAAATACTTCTTCAGGTAAAGAAAAATTTGAGCATCCAAGCGCGGAAGGACCTGTTTTTCTAATTTGATTCTTGAATTTTTCTAGTTGTTTTTGTTTTACTTTCCATCTATATATGTATGGCTTAATGCTTGCTTGATGCTGGTTCCACTTGAGTTTGTATCATCTTGTTGGCCTTTGTGATTGGCTTATTTCAACCCTCTTATGGTGTGTGATTATGAGCTGTTAGACCCTACTTGGGTCCGTTCGAGTAGTGGACCCTTGCTTATATAACTGTTCTTGAGTTCTAACCAAAACTTTGCCTCTTCTTGGAAAGATTACGCATGTTTTCCTTTCTACATCTAATACTTCTCTTTGGTGTTCATGTAACCTAATTTGGTTACTCATAATTTGTCTGGATAAGGGCAGCAAGATGTACTGAAATAGGGGAGAAAACAAAATGAGTGATTTTTTATTCTTATTTCTTAAGTTGTTCTGATGAAGAGAAGTAGGGGAGAAAACAAAATGAGTGATTTTTTATTCTTATTTCTTAAGTTGTTCTGATGAAGAGAAGTAGGAGATAAAGAGAAGTTCATTTTTTCTACGAATACATACATATATATATATATATCCTTGATATTGATTTTTTTTTTGCAGTGGATCCTACTAGAAACTTTTTCTCATCCGCTTACTTTTCTTGCATTCAAAGAAAAAATTAAAATTATTTTATTCCCATTTCTTTTTTCCCCAAATTCATGATAAACTAAGGCTTACTAATTGTGTGTCTATTCATATTAACAGACAAGAACAGAAGGATACCGGTCCCTCGGAGTCTCCCAATCCCTTAAAAAGCTATGGAAGCAAGAAAGTTTTATGGGATTTTACAAGTAAGTTTAATTTTGATCAAGTACACATTTTTGAGATGTTTTTCATAATAAAATGACACACTTGCATAACATATTTGTGACATGGAATTTCAGGGGAAACGGAGCAAGTGTTCTTCGGATTGTTCCATATGCTGCCTTGCATTTTATGACATACGAGCGGTACCGAAGTTGGATATTGGACAACTATTCGGTATTAGGAACGGGGCCCATTGTGGACCTCTTGGCTGGTTCGGTAGCAGGAGGGACTGCAGTGTTATGTACTTATCCCTTGGATTTGGCTCGCACTAAATTGGCTTACCAGGTAAACTATACGTTATTCTGCCCTTTTTAATATTTGATCTGAGGAACTCTAATGGGGAATTGACACTCCTTATATGAGCTTCTATAATTAGCACTTTAAATTTCATGGTATCAACCCCAACTAGTTAGGATTAAGGTGATGCTGATAATAAAGTAAGAGCTTTTGCCTCAAGTGCGGATACATTATTATTTTAGGAAATACGAAGTAGTAGTATGTATTTGATTTTTATCCTTGTTAACAAAGACACATCATATGCATTGTTTGAAATATGCTGTCTCTTAAAGAAGTGAGAAAAGCTTAGCTCCCAACGAGACACAGCAAAATTTGTATAATGGTGTGAGCAATACTCCCTATGCCCCACACATATAGTCCTTTTACCATATATAGTACTACGTAATATAGTATGCCTAACTAATATATTTATATATCTTGGTTCTACCGCACATGAACTATGTAACTGATACAAATAGTGAGAATCAGGATTTATGTTCTAACTATATAATAACTATTAGACATTTTACTGCATGTTTATAGCTTTTCTTGACTATGCTGCTTTATTTCACTTTACCTTGCATTGGGATTCTTTTGTGCTGTGTGTATGGTTTTACATGGGTAATGCGCTAATGTGCTATTCAATTTATTCTTCTTATTACTTTTTTTGTTCTCCAATTTTAGATTGTGGACAGAAGTGTAGACAATGAAATGAGAGGTCCTCGTACTCAACCTGCTGCGTACAACGGCATAAAACATGTTTTCCAGTCTGTTTATAGAGAGAGTGGGGTCCGTGCACTCTACCGTGGTGTAGGTAAAATGTTTTCCTGGAATGTATCTGTTTTTTCAAGTTCTAATTGTGTTTTTCAACCTCCTGTTCTGAAAATCCACATATACTCTGCCTAACCCTCCCAAATGCCTAGTCTTTGTTCAGTGTGGGTGGAAAAAGAATGGAAAGTTAAAAAATGTTGAGAAGAGAAAGAGATAAGATTTGAGAACTTCCCATTCGCCTAATAATTGTAGCTTTTGCAATTCTATTCACGCTCTCACATTTCAATACAAATTTAACCAAAAAACTAGAGAGATATGGACATCATCAGTTCTAGGCTCCTAATTCAGTTGTTGGTTCAACTATGCCTCACATAGTTAACTTAGGTAAGACTTTTTTAATGCATCATAATCAGAATAAATGGAAATCAGCTTCTTTTATTCAAGCACGGGAAACATGTTATCTGTATTCGCTTATTTAACCAAAAAATTAGAGGACAAAAATGTATATTTCTGTTCATTTATTTTCTCTCTTTTCCCCCTCTCAACTAAGCAATAGATAAAATCCACTCTCTTATTCTGCAATTGCAGCCAATCAAATCACTACCGTTTTTACATTTGATCGCATATTTCAACTCAGATGATTAGATGATATGAATTGTTAGGTGCAAGAAGTGTAACTGTGTAAGAAGAGCATTTTGCTTTGTTTTGGTCAGTTGTCAATCTTTTAAAGCTGATCATTTATTATGGTGAGACAGGCCCCACGCTGTTCGGGATTCTTCCATATGCTGGATTGAAGTTTTACATTTATGAGGAGCTTAAGAGTCGGGTGCCAGAAGAGTATGAGAAATCCATTATGATGCGTCTTTCTTGTGGAGCTCTTGCTGGTCTCTTTGGTCAGACTTTCACTTATCCTTTGGATGTCATTAGGCGGCAGATGCAGGTACCCTATGTACCTTCTTTATAAACTTACATGTCCAGTTGTGTCACACTTGGAGCGCATTAGGTATAACTTTTTGTGGGTATCATCCAAATAATGAATAAGTAGGGCTTGAGTTACTTTTTGTGAGGTTAAAATGGTTAGAATTAAAGAAAGTGTCACTTCTGTCTCCCCTTTTACACTTTTTCGTTTATTTTTAATTAAGAAATTAAGAAATTAAGAAATTTAGTTCAAATATTCTTCTTCGATTGTTGAGGAGATTTTGCCATTTTAACCATTATTTTTGGCCTTGCCTAATGAGCTTAACATGGTAAGGCATTAATATTTGCCTTAACCCAGAGGAAACTAAAAAAAGATATATGATTGCTAATCCATAGGCATATTTTAATTAATTTATTATAACGATAATTTGAATCTGCAGATAACAGATTTTAATTTTCTTAAACCCTACAAATGTATGGTGTCTTAGATGGACCTTTTTTTGCTTAAGAGCAGAATATATGGAAGAGTGCAATTTGCAGAGCATTTGACTTATTTAGGTCACGTTTGGGGTGGGTTGTGGCTTATTATTTGCAATACAAGCTAACATTATCAAGTACTTAAAACAAACCATGAAACCAGTTTTACCACAAGCTACTAAGTTCCTTTAAGAAAATGTTGCAGATTGAGGGTGAGATATCTCTGCAACATTTCTCATGAAATAGATAATCTTAGAATTTAAATGATGTGTATTGAATTATTTATATCTATCATTAGGTGGAACAAGGGAAGGGAGGTAAATATGGCAGCACAAGGGAGGGGTTTCGGGTCATTGTTCGTGAGCAGGGCTGGAGACAGTTGTTTGCTGGTCTCAGCATTAATTATATCAAGATCGTTCCATCTGTGGCAATTGGCTTCACCGCCTATGATGTCATGAAGGCCTGGCTTCGCATCCCCCCTCGCCATCGTAAAGAAAAATCTGTGCCTTAGATACATATACATATACATATATATAGAGAGAGAGAAAACTTCATGTCCAGCCGGCCTGACGGGAACCGCCGTCCGGCCGAGGCCATTTCGGGCACTTCCCGATCGAATTTTTTGATGAAATTTTTTGAGCATGTTCTTCAGCAAGTCTAGTTTATCCATACCAAATTTTAGCTCAAAATTCGATCGAGAAGACATTCAAATCATTTTTTGAAGTTGACTGCGTTTTTATATGTATATTTTGACGCAGTCAATTTCAAAAAATTATTTGAATGCCTTCCCGATCGAATTTTGAGCTTAAATTTGGTATGGATAAACTAGACTTGATGAAGAACATGCTCAAAAAATTTTATCAAAAAATTCGATCGGGAAGTGCCCGAAATGCCCTCGGCCGGACGGCAGTTCCCGTCAGGCCGGCTGGACAAGAACGGGACTCTATATATATATATATATATATATATATATATATATATATATATATATATATATATATATATATATATATATATATGCATATGCATATATGCATTTATAGATACAAACAACAAGAACATATGAACTTCTTTCCTTCCTGTGCCCCCATCTTCTTATGCGTGTGTGTATTGTATATTTGTATACATCATTATATATAGGTTCTAAGATTGATTCCACCAAGGCATTCCTTTATTTTCCGGACAAGCTGACCTATTTATTGAGCTGTGAGTTACTACTCTATGCAGAACCATGTTCTATGCTCCAATTACCCATGTCATTATACAAATAAATGATATAGTACTTGAAACAACATCATCATCCCTATAAATTCTAGCATAACCTTGCCAAATGAATGCCATCCAAAAAGCTATTCTTCCCGCGTTGGCCTTTTCTTCGTAGTTTCATGCTTTGACGACGTTCTCCTGAAACCTGAGTACGTTAAGTATAACTACAATCCTAGACTCACAACTAGTGATGGACCCGGGCCGGGTCAAGGCCCGGTCGGGCCTCGGGTCTGGTAAAGGTAGGCCCGGAACCGGCCCGGGCAATGGCCGGTTCCGGTTCGGGCCGGGCCACCCGGCCGGGTCACGGGCCGGGCCACCCGCCAGGCCGGGCTGGGCCAGTATTTTTTTTAATTAATTATATATTATACAAATTCCTATTAAAAACAAAGTTCAAGTGCATTTATTTGAAATAGGAACTACATTTGAGAATTGCGAAAAAAATAACAATACAAAATACATTTTCTAATGAATATCAATTGGGATTTCCGCCACCGTTGGTTGTTGTTTTCCCTTTGTCACAGGACTTCATATGTTTTATTGGCATCCCGTTATTGGCATCCCGTATCCGTGTGAACGCCCCAAGCAACACTCTTTCTTGCACCACTTGCAAGTTGCCCACCACAGTCCGGTCTTCGGGTCTCCACTTGTCAAAATTGTTTTGCATAAGGGAAGATGTACTTTCCATATTTAAAATGGTATATGTATAAGTATGATTGTAGGAATGTAGGATAATAAGAGAAGATGAAGATGGAGAAGAGTTGGGGAAGAGGTGTAGAAAAATGTTAGAAAATAGATGTATTTATAGATGTTTTTGAACCCCCACTCCCCACACCACCACCCCCGGGACCCCCCTGCCCCCCACCCATAGCCCCAACGGCTATATAGCCATTTGGGAGGCTTTATTTCAAATTTTTTTTTTAAAAGTTATACATATTGTAAAATAAATTAATTAATTTAATGAATTAAGTAAAACTATTTGTACTTAGAAAAGTGGTTTGATTTATAATTTACAAATGTTACAAAATAGGTGTATAAGTATTTAAACAAATTACATATTGTAAATGTATTTTTAATTTAAAAACCGGCTTTATATTTTAGAAAAATAATTTTAAGTCGTTAGTTTGTAACCAATTAATTAATTTGAAAAGTGCTACATATGAAAAAGTGAACGCATATTTATTTGAAATATGAAGTACAAGTTTACAAATTAATTTGAAGTACAACTACAAGTTTACAATTTTGAAATATGAAGTACAAGTTTACAATTTTGAAATATGAAGTACAAGTATAAATAAATTTGACAAGTGCTACAAAATACATTTTATAATAAATTCTAAAATACTAATCAATAGGAATCTCCGGCATAGGTAGAGCCACCATCGGTTGTTGAGTCATCCATAAAATCTTGGGAGGGGGTGATGCTCATTTCTTGAGTTCTACGTGCGGCCTTCAACCAATCGTGGTAGCATATAAGCGTCTCAAGAGACTCCGCGCTCAATCTCGATCTAGATGCCGTTAGGACGTTGCTGGCCGAACTAAATTCTTGTTCCACAGCAACTGTTGAAATCGGCATTGATAGTACTTGCTTAGCCATCCGTGCTAAAATCGGGAACGTTCTTTCTTTTGACTTCCACCAGTTTAGAACGTCAAAGTCATCATTTTCTTCAAAATCAACTTCATATGTTAAATACAAAGTAATCTCATTCAATGCACTTTGTTCAGTGACGTGACTTGTTTTTGTTTTTTTCATAAGATTGCCAAATGCAGATTTAAAAATCGATTTTCCTTTAGATGAAGATGTTCGTGACGGGGGAGGGGGAGCGTTGCTATATTGTGCACGAAACTCATTAAATAAGGCATAAAATAAAGCACTAACCTCGTTGTATTCCGTTTTCGGATCTATGGGTTATCGTCATACATTGGAAATTCACCAAAAAACGCAAGATAATAGAAGTTGAAACAATCTTCCAAATTAGCAAGTCTATAACGAGGATCGAGAATAAATGCAATACCATAAATATGGGGAATATGCACATAATATTTTAAAAACTTTTCCTTCATATAATCACAAAAATAATGAACGAAAACGACATTCTCAAATTCTTTAAAAGCACCGGCGAGATTAACAGCTTCACGAATAAATTGGTTTGCGGTAGGTTTATAAACATGACTAAAAGTTTCAGTAGCATTAAAAAAAATATCAAAACATTACAAATTTTTTCGCAAGTGTCGATCTCAGCCGCGTTTATAATATAGTTATCATGTTCTTTTAAAAAAGCAGGAAAATGTTCTTTAATCTTTATATCTAAGAACAACTTTAAGTAATTTATAAGCACTATTCCAACGAATACTCAAATCTTTAGGAAAAGCAACATATCTCACACCTCTTTCAGTAAAATAAGTTTGCCATTTTAATCTAAGTTGACCATTACCCCAAATACGTCTAATCCCCCCCTTGATTACCTCCATGGAATCTCCTAACGCTTTTAAACCGTCTTGCACACATAAATTTATAACATGGCATGCACAGCGTTGATGAAAAAATCTACCCATCAAAGTATTGGCACCACACAACTCACGCAATCTAGGTATAACAGCAGTATTATTAGTAGCATTATTGAAACCAATAGCAAACACCTTATCAATCAAATTATACTCAATTAAAATACGCTCAATCAAAATATAAATATGTTCAGCGGTGTGACGATCATTAAATTCACGAAAAGCAAGAACACGTTTATGCATATTCCAATCCTCATCAATATAATGTGCAGTCAGACCCAAATAATATAAATGATGAAAATCATCCTCCCATATGTCAGAATAAATAGTAACACGCCCATCAAAGTTTGCAATTTTTTTTTGTAACATTGCCTTTTCCGCATTATAAAGCCTTATTATTTCTTTCTTAACAGTTTTGCGACTATAATTTCTAAATTGAGGATTAAACTACCTTGTGTATAATGTGAAAGAATAATTGTGGAATAATAGCTTACCCATTAGGGAGCCCTAGCATTGTATTTATAATAACAAGGAGTGAGAGTAATTACACACAAGTCCCTATAATTACACTATTACACCCCCTCAATCTGTGCAGGGGAAATCACGTGCAGATTGGAACGTAAAAATTCAAAACGCTGACTAGACAGATTTTTAGTGAATCTGTCAGCAAGCTGGTACTGAGTAGGAATGTACTTGACAACTAGGTCTCCATGGGCAACTCGTTCTCGAACAAAATGGTAATCAATCTTGATGTGTTTACTGCGATCATGCTGGATAGGATTAACCGCAAGGTATGAGGCAGAGACGTTATCACAAAATAGTTGTACAGGTGCCGAAATCCGAATGCCCATGTCGAGTAGTAGTGACCGAATAAATAAAGTGTCCTGGACCGTGTATGCAACAGCTCTATACTCGGCTTCGGTGGAGGATTTTGAAACAGTGGGTTGCTTTTTGGAATGCCAAGAAATAAGATTACCTCCAATAAAGATGGCATAGCCGGTGGTAGACCTGCATGAGTCTGGGCAACCTGCCCAGTCAGCATCAGAATATGCCACTACGACCGAAACACTCTGCCCGGACCGAAGCCATAGACCATGAGATGAGGTCCCCTGTAAGTACCTGTAAATTCTTTTGACTGCAGCAAGATGAGTAGTACGAGGAGCATGCATAAACTGGGAAACCAAATGTACGGCATAAGTAATATCAGGTCTAGTAATAGTCAAGTATTGTAATGCACCTACCATATTGCGATACTCAGTACTATCACTAAGAAGATCTCCATCTGTGAGAGATAAGGTGGTGCGAGAAGGAAGTGGAGTACGAACAGGTTTAACTGTGTGTAGATGGAAGCGTTGCAAAAGATCTGTGACATATTTATGCTGAGATAAGAAGATACCTTTAAGAGTGCGTTTAGCTTGGATTCCCAAAAAATAATGAATATCACCCAGATCTTTCATGGCAAATTGACTAGATAAGACACGAATAAACTGATGAACCAAAGACACAGAGCTACCAGTGATAAGAATGTCATCCACGTTTAACAAGATATAAATTATGTCGGACTGATAGTGATAAGTAAACATGGAAGAATCAGACTGGCTCTGAGTAAAGCCATGAGAGAGTAAGAAACCACTAAAACGATGAAACCAAGCACGTGGAGCTTGTTTCAGACCATACAGAGCCTTTTTCAGTTTGCAGATATGAGAGGGATATTGGGGATGTAGGAAACCAGGTGGCTGACGCATATACACCTCCTCCGTAAGATGTCCATGCAAGAAAGCATTTTTGACATCTAACT